GGGGCTCAACCCCCGAAAAGCTCCACATTTTTCCAGTGATGGCACTAAAAACAGCTTGGTTAGGAATGGAGGCATACAGGACAGTGTCTCTGATCTGATAGGTTCTACTTGATAAAGACCCACCAGTTGTTGGCTCGCCAACAATTGTGGCCCGATTTAGGTCCTTCATTGTGCAAGTGAATACTTCGGCTGCTGACCCAGTCATATGACTGGTCAAGATGAATAGTTCCTTGGAGGATCCGTATCTTTGACCTCTCACCTGTGGAATTGTCATGACTTCTGTCATTGTGGTTGTTGTTCGGTCAAAAACAGAGTAAAGATGGTGTAGAGGTTCTGCATCAAAGAAATAACTACACAAAAGTGGAATCGCGGTTGAATAACCACCACTGTTGTACCTCATATCAATTATGAGGGCATCTGTATTTATTATCTTGCTCCAAACAGATTTTATGAGATGCGGTCCGATGGCTTTTACCACTTCTATGTCTGCCATCATATCAAACCTTAAATAGCCAATGTTACCTGGTAGAAGCTCAATTTTAAAAAGAGCATCAATTATATAGCCCACTTCCTCTGCTGTAGGAATCTTTGGGAGTTCATGAAGTGACTCAGGCTCAACCTCACAGTGGAAAACATGCAGTCGGTGATCACCTGAAGTCTCTTGGAGATCTGCTGTCAGCTGTGATGCCAAAGACTCAAAGTCAACCACCGAGCGGTATAATCCGTCAGCCCATTTACTTACCAGCACCTTGCTAACCTTTAGCGCGACTTCATGGATTGCGTAGTGATCTTCTAACAAATCTCCAGCTCCTTGTATGAGGGAATTTAGTCCTTTGTGAAATTCAGCAATCTCATGAACATGGTCCACTGCTTCTTCAGCAAGCACAATGGCATCAGGTACCACTCCACCTCCCAGCCAGAATTCTCCGTTGTTGTCGATAAAGTTTATGAAAGGAACAGTGATGGCAATATTGGTCCCCTCTATTTTAAAGGTCTTTGAGTGCATCAGGGTACCAGATGTTATTTCCCCAATGACTGTGCCACGATGTAATGACTGTATCAGATAAGCAAACTCTTCACCAACACTTGCTGTGTAATAACTGGTTAACACGTAAATCTCCCGCTTTGAGCCATACGCTGGTCCTGTAATTTTAGGCAAAGTGTTGTGTTCTGTTGTACTATTCTGAATTCGGTCATATATTGTAAAAAAGTGTTGCTTCTGTGATGTGTCCTGTAGATAAGACAAAATAATGGCTAGAGAGGTAGAGGATCCACCGGTGTTATAGCGCAAATCAATAATCAAGTTAGCAGTATCTTTGAGGGGTACCCATACCTTTTTAGCCATGACCTCTTCTAATTCAGCAGATGACTTGACAAACCTGTCAAAGCGGACATAACCAGTGTTGCCTGGGAGAATTTCCACTTTGAGCAATGTATCAATGTATTCCGTTAATAGTCCAGGTTCGTCTGGAACTTTCTCATGTTCATGGCCTTCCTCTACATTGGCTGCATATTCTGGCATGTATTTGATTGTCAGTCTGGGATCTTCAGACACAGTCTGGAGCACTTGGTTGAGTCTGATTGCTAGACCCTCTTCAGATACGACAGACACGAAGTCTGTAGATTCCAAGAGTTGAAGAAGAGCTGGAACTCTTTCGGTAAACGTGTAGAACCGGTCGATTTTGTCAGAGATTCTTTGGACAACTTTTGGAATAGAATTCCTTATAGCCAGAAGTGATTTGGCTTTTGCAACAGCGTCCTTGGCAATGATGTGGACATTTGGAGAAACACCAGTGACCTCCCAGCTCTGACCTGTAATTGGACTGACAGATCTTGCCACAGGAACTGTTATGTAGAACTTCGACTGAGCAATCCTTATTTTTTGGACTTTCACCGACCCACCAGCAGACTTTTCTCCAACTGTGATGGCCCTCCTTAGGTTTTTTAGAGCATACGCCACTGCCTCAGCAGCCCCCGTTGTGGATCTACTGGTCAAAATAATGACATCTTTTTTCTTTCCATACCTTTCCCCCACTATAGATGGGATGGTCCATAGTTCCCTGGTTGAATTTGAAGGCCTGTCATATACAGTGTCAATATGAATAACGGATTCAGGGTCTGAGAAATAGGAGATAATAAAAGGAACTCCAGAGAGCTCTCCAGCTGTGCTGTACCTTAGGTCAAAGATTAGTGAGGATGTGTGAGCAATATTATCCCAGATATTTCCCATGAACTGCGAGCCAAACTTTACTGTTGTTTCCTCCCCAATGATCCGATCTATCCGTAGATAGCCAACATTGTTTTCCAAGATATCCGCCTTGACAGAGCTTTTCACCAGCCGGATCAGCTGTTCTTTTGGAAGAGATGACAGAGTTGGTGGCATCACTGGGACAAAATTAGGCTCATAGGAAATGGTCAACCGAGGATCATTCAATGCTCCTTGTACTCCAGCTGTGAGCACAGTTGCCAGGGTCTTCCTATCTGAAATCTGCAGGATTTCTCCACTGTTGATAGCTTGTTGGATGGCCTCTTGCATCCCAACCAGGTTCTCAGGGAAGCAGTAGTTTTCCAAAAGAATCTTGGCCATTTCTAATACTAGAGCAGGCTGGAATGACGAGTTGCTGGATAGAGTAGATAGAAAAAACATCAACAGAAGTGGCACTGTCGTATGCGCCATCTCTAATATCTTCATCAACGCTGATAGAAAGAGAACCACCTCCGTCTTTGCTTTTTCTGGGTTGTGTTAGTTGATTTGTGTTCAGAGACTGTGGATTTCACTGGAAGGAATATGTCATTGTCAAAGGTTTTTTGGGCAGCAACATCAACATAAGAGGCTTTTGTCTACAATAAACCTTTAATCGCATTATATGTAGTGCTTCAGCCTGCAGACGATAGCAGACAGAATGAAAAATGATAAATGGGAGGTACAGTTTCTCACTGTTTTTGACACAAATGTAATAGAGGTTTGGGTTCTGGTACCTCTAGTTTTAACACTTGTAACTGAAAGACAGTTTACTGTTTATTATTTTTCTACTTATTTTTCTATTACAGTCTGCATCATTTACCAAATTCTCCCCGTGGAATACTCAGTACTAAAAAGGTGATAAATGAGGCTGCACTGATTTGTGCCAAAGCCCCAACTGAAACACTCCCACTCCTTTTTACCTCTTTCTTCCTTGCCTGTTACGAAAGCTGATGGTGGTGTATTTTGGTGCTGTTGGTAGCTTTAGTGGGTCATGTCTGGGTCATTTCACTGGTGACATGATTACACAGTTTACAGACAAAGCCTTCTTAAAACACATCCAGGATCAGAACTGGGTAACAAGTTCCTTAATTCAAAGTGTGTGTAACACCCACACTTTGAATTAAGGAACAAACAGTTGAGTGGAAAGTTTTTATGTCTATTGAATGCCTTATTTTCACAACAAGGACAAGTTTGGATATAATAGAAAATTGATAGCTGGTAACTTTCCATCGTTTACTCAGATTTAAACAGCAAGACATCATAAGACCAGCTCACAACTAATAGTGCCAGACATGAGCTTATTCCAAATACTAGACTTGCTAAGCTTAACGTCTTAGCCTTTATTACGGCCTCATACCTTACATAACAAATTCCAGTCTCATCCAATTCCCAGGGTGCTTATCGAGAACTTCAAAACACTGAATACTTCCTGATGTTGTCACTTTGTGTCAAATAAAAGAACAGATTATATCATTTTCGCTGATAATAAAATACCTAAGGGTTAACATTGATTCAGAACTGATTCAGAAAGTAGACTGTAGAAATGAAGTGTCGTAAGAGTTAAGATGTTAGCTGTGATAGTCACGCAACAAAACGTATTAATGTCAGCAAGATTTAGAGCTGAGTTCCCAACACACATTCAGGAATGAACAAACACAAGAATCATCAGTGTCCATTTCATGTTGCCTTTCGTGGCTGTTCTAATCGCTGTTCTTAAATGATAATATTAAACAGTAGAAGCAGAGACTTAAAAGCTCTGTTGTCCCATGCTGTTGGTGATTGAAGGAACACACTGTTATGAAGCAAAAACTAATGGAGCTTTTTCCTTGGTTCTCAGGAAACAGGAATTCTGACCCCGACACCAATGTTATTTTAAAACAAGATCAGTTTAGTGCTACAGGACATGGAAGTGTTTGCACAAACTTGTCCCCTCATTGATTTCAACATGGTGGGTCAAACTCAGATAAGACTATGTCACTGACATTTAATATTTACACAGCTGACAGTATAGATTACTGTATGATGAGTGTGTGTAAGGGGGATAACTAATTGTTTTTTCCACATAGTCATTAGTTTATACAGTCATTTTTCCACGATTACATTAAAATGTAGAACATCACTTTCTCTTTCTCTTTGTTGTTTTCTATAATTTGTGGAATTTTGGAAAATAGCATTCATGGAGACGTTATACAGGCTTTTTTGTAACGCTATTACTCTGTGCAATAAAAAGTCAGTATTGCACAATGTGAATAACTGTGATATTTCCTATTTCATCACCTGCCTCTAATCATCTTATTAGTCTTCCACTGTATAGCAGCTGTTTCAGTACCTAATGAATAATTGTCTTTGTGGATCAGCCAGTCTCCCCAACTGTATCTTGTGTTTTGAGTCCAATTGATATCGGATTTTTAGGAGCAACGGTGATATTTAATGATTAAAAATCTGATATTTTGGCTGTTTTTTCCTTTCATATGCATGTAAAAGACAGATTTCCCTGATTTGTTATATGTATTTGTTTACAGTTGTTTTAGGAACATATTAATTAATTCATGCTCTGGACAGCTATGGTCAGGTCAGCTGGTTGATGTGCTTGTGGTTTTCCGGACTCACGGATGTTGCCAAAAGGGAAGTGGCAGAGTGCCCTCTAGTGGACAAACTGTGCCCTGTTGACACTCACAGCATTTCATTTATTGGCCAGAAATATCAATAACAGGTGAGGAGGTGAGTAAGTCAAAAAGGAGACTTCTGGCTGAGAAGAGCCCGAGAATTTTTTATTAATTTCAGGGTTGGAATACCTTAGAAACAAAATGATGACATCATGCTACATATAGGAGAGTAAAAATCTGCACACTGAGAGCAAATATTCTAATAATTATTATTTCTTTTAAATATACATTTTTCTGTAATTTCTTTCTCTCAGGGATCATAAGTACAGATACACACCTATCAATTTTTGACTTCTGCCCCTCTGTAGTAGCCCATGGTGGGCATGTTTATGCTGTCAATGAATGTAATGTTAATAATTTACAGACTAATACCAGATATATATCAATATAAATAATTTATACTTACAATATCAATATACAGATGTGTTATATCAGCAAATGAGCAGTGATTATATGTGAATTTGTGTTTCACCAGCTTATTACAAACAATAATTATACCTGTTTTACCTGTAATAGTAAACTCGTTTAACTTTGCTTTTTACATGCTTTTTATTATGTACTCCACACATACAGGGAAAACCTTTAATGTACACATAATGAGAATTAAATACAATAAATGCAAAATGTGTCCCTTTCCTTTGCTCTTCCACTATCCTGTTGGTCTGACAAACCGTCACGCATATCTTACAATGAACTCTCAAAAGCAGCAAGTCTGTCATGCTGTTAGCATTGGGGTATTAATTTAAGTGATTGCCAGTTTTTTTTTTCATCAATTATGCATAGTACCTTACTTCTGACAAAAAATAGGTGCATAGTTTAGAGCAATTCTTTATTCCTTAGTATTCATTTATTTAGAATATTTGCTAGAAAAGTTCTTATCTTGAAGTTTAGCTTCTTCCTAGCTTCACCTAAAATTGAACCTAGGGATGGGAGATATTTTTAGCACAATCAACAGACTCCTGTACCTTGTATGACATCTCTTTTCACGCTGTAGAGAATTCTAGTCCACAATGATAGATTAGAAATACCCCTTCTAGTCTAGAAGAGCTAATCACAGCTTTTTTCACGGTTAGAATAAAATAATATGGAGAACTTAAAGCTAAATACAGGTGGTGCGCGTTTATTATGAACTTCCACGAGGGAGGGTGGCGTTTAACTCCCACATGAAGCCATAGTTTGCTACTGAACTTTTTTCTACATATAAGTCATGTGCATATATCAGTTGAATCAACAGATCAATAAAAAAAAATCAGTAGAATTAATAGAAAAGACTTTAAAAAACAAAACTAAACAAAAACTCTGGAATATTTTACAACCTTTTGGACCAATACAGGGCATGAAAGTTGCCATATGACCTGTTATCCTTGAACATTGAACTAAATGGAATAAAATTTAAATTTAGGATGATCATTACCTTTGCTAGGGTAAGGGCAAACTACCTGCAGCCACACTCTGCTACCTTCATCTCTTCATACAGATATCTTATAGTGATGCGCCCATTCTCCTGATACATGACTGTGATGGGGTCAAGTTGGATTGGGACGCAGCATGCCATGTTGGCCTTCTTGGGGTCCCTGATGTTCATCAGCGTCTGGATAAGGGCGTGTTTTGATGGAGATGACTCATCCGTCAGTGGATGGTAACACTGGCCGCGACATTCAAAGGCATCATATTCCCGAGGCGCCACGATCCAGCTGTCCCAGCCAATGTCTTTAAAGTTGACCTTGAGCGAGGTCCGCCGGCAGTGTTCCCTCGGTGCTCGTCTTTTTGTTCTCTGTGGGTGCTGAGAATCAGGGATCTCGTTTGGTAGCTGATATCCTCTGTTCCAGTCAGCCCCTGAATGTAGGATGGTTTCTTCTTCATGAAGGATCATCTCTCTTAGTTCCTTCTTCATCTCCCTCCTCCTGTTACTGAGGTCATTTGAGAAGACAATCAAAGCCGCAGAGGTATTATCGCCGACGGACACGCTCATGTTTAAACAGCTGGCCCCTGCCGCCCCGCTTCCAGAATCCCCACAATCTTTCATATCCACCGCTACGTCAAAAACAGTTGGTGCAGGGCCTGACTTGATCCAGCTCTGAATAGCCGTGGTCACATCAAACGTTGTCCATGTGCTCTGAGAGCCTGCCACCTCTTTGCCCACCAGCAGTTGGGCTGAGGATGTGAAATTGTTCGTATCGACTTCGTAGACTTTAACCATGATCTTGAAATTGTGGGAGGTGACTCTTGGCCTGAAGTTTGGGAAAAAGAAAAGCTGCAGCTCAGCAGTTGTGATCTTTTCATGGCTGGGGATGCTGATGTTGAACTGCAGCCTGTACTTTGACTTTGTCCCATTCGTCATAGAGAGAGTTAAATCTGTCAAAGAGAAAAAACACCCTGATCACTGACACATCTGAAACAGCAGCAGGGATTGTCATGGTCGGCCACGGACTGTGTACCTATTACAGTCAGAAGTGAAATCCGAGTCTTATTTCATTTTCTGCTGAAATAGTACCCTAACATTGACAATATTATGTTATTTGATAGATTCGATATCTGTCTGTCGAGACCAAAAACAGTTCACGAACACTAGAGATCCAAAGACCACACAGGCAGTAACCATAATACAGAAACTGATGTGTAGTTCTCATTGGCTAATCAATCAAAGGAAATCATCTGGGGATACTTTCGTTGGTACTTTACATCCTGCATCTTCACCAGAATATATAAAATCATGTAATAGCAAAGGAAAAGCCACTGATGAGGGCTTAGAAGTAAATATTTCTCTATTTCTAAGAAGTTTCAGCTCATATATGCTAGGAAATGTTAATATTACCCCAGCTGAACATTTCAAGAAACAACAAAAAAATAGCAATGTGGGTTTATCAGCTAGTTGTAGCTCTGAAGAGGGAAACCTGTATTACCTGTGTTAGCTGCAAAGATCTAAACCAGATATAACACAAATGTGCATTTCTCAAGGTGGCTTTTCCAGATATGAGTCTTGATTTGGAATACTGGAATAAACAAGACTCATTTTCATGATCCATGAATGTCCCTCTGCCATCAGCTACATGTAACTCAGAGTGTACTTTTGCTGTGTCCAGTTAAATCCAATTCAGATACCTTGCACAGTGAAGCTTCGTATGACATCAGACTGAGGGGCTGCCGAGGTGTCCAAGGCATACTTGTTGTACAGTTCCATCATGAACTGAGGGGGGATGATCTTGCTGTGCTCCTGAGGAACGTCTGACAAGTTGAGCTGTCTCAGAAAACCCTCCTTCATGGTTCCCAGGAGGTTCTCCATCCTCGAATCTGTCTCTTCCTCTTCCAGAAGGTCCTCTGAGAGCTGAGAGTAGAGTTCCTCCATGTTCCTTCTGATGTCATTGTTGATAGGTTTACAGTGGCAGGAACCAATGGTAGCCACCAAACTTAAACACACCTGGAACAGGGAGCTTCTGGAGAGCTGCATTTTGAATGTGACTAAACTGGTGAGAACTTCACCGTCTCCCCTGCTCGAAAACAGACTTTGCTGTGGCAAATTTTGAAAATGGCAATTCTCAGTACACATATCAGACTCCTGGTGTCCGCTCCCATGCTCCCAGAGTAAACAGGGGGACTTGTGTCAACTAAAATAGTAGCTTGGCCATGCTTATCACTGCAGCCGATGCCTTCTTTAAAGCTTTGTTATCATTAGAGGGGTGTCTGCTAATGAAGACACTGTAAACAGTTGACAGGGATAATGAAGGGGGTGCTGGAAATTGCGAGGTTTCTGAAAAACAGACATTTATAAAATTACTTTCCCCAACTCGGATGTGGCTTCATAACGAAACCAGCCAAAAGAAAAAGAAAAGAAAGAAAAAGTGATAAAATGTCAGCTTGAAGGCGTAACAGCCTTGCTTGTTAAAATCTGTAGCTAGATTAGCATTGTAGCTCTCGTGGTTTTAGTGCTGTGGTCAAAATGTCAAGAAATTTCTAATTAGACAGCAGGATCCAACCTATCAGTGTGCATATTTCACATTTCACATCTCTGGCATCAGTTTTCTAGCCTATTGCTCAAACACTACTTGTTTTTGCAAATGCAAAAGTTCTTTACAATGACCTAATAATCCCATTATTTACAACCATTATACTCATGTTAAACTTTTGCTAGTCCCACAGAGTCCACTGAGGATACACATTTTGGTGATTAAGTTATGTACAGGCAACACAATGGAGAGCATAACATCATATTCACAGGGGGATGATGAAATTAACATAATATACACGAAAAGCCAAAGAATTTGGATTGATAATGTTTCTTTTTAAACATATAGATATTATGTGTTTGTTTCATTCAGATTGTCCCAACATTAAGGAGGTGATAGAGTATGTAGACATATATGCTACAATCATATTTATACTGATAAAATATTAATATAATATAATCTGTGTTTGATTTCAAAATGTATTTATGTTGAGTTTCTTGTCTCAATGGAAACTCTTTCATAAAATGAAAGAAACTAACAATGAGATGTGACCCTATGTGAAGTTTTGGAGCGATTTAATAGCCGTAATGCATTACTGTAAAAGTACAGATAATACAAAAATAAAATAAGAGATTGCATATCAGGCAAGTTCTATATGTTGTGGACTAATCTTAAAAAAAGTGTGTGACTGTATCTCTTGTTGTGCACTTCTTCTGTGCGAAGAAGAACCAGACGCAAAGCAGCATATGGAAGAATGTTGACGAACTGGTTGAGCCCAAACCACAAGCCAGTGAGTCTGGGGACGTTGGCTTACATCCGACCTATAGTGGAATTTCTTTCTTCTTCTTCTTCTTCTCAATCATTCAGTCTCTTATTACTTGGTTCACACTGGGTTTCATAAAAGGGTTTCGCTGTGGCCCTTTGATGGTCTTAAGAGGTCTGCTCTATGGAGTCCATCAGTGATGAAAGACGAGGAGCAAATGTACTGGCATGGGTACAGCAAACAGTGTAGGCACGCAGAAGGAAAACAAACACGATGAGAAAACTTTAATATGATCTAAAGTGCAGTCACCTGATCAGTTGGATGAACTTGTGAAAAGAAAAGAGAAATAATAAAAATGTTTTAGGGTAGTGAGGACTTGATCATGTGTCATACCAGCAATATGTTTTGGCCCAAGCTTTGTTTTCAAGGTCAGGCATTTGTCAGTATGCTGCATGTTTGTTCCAGATTCTTTTCTCATCAGGTAGCAAATCAGTCTCCAACCTGAATAAAAACATTTTTAGGCAATAAAAACAGTTAGATTAAAGACCTTAATAGTCTCCATGAGGTCTACGTTTGTTTCTGTTATGTGGTGATATTCTCTGTAGCTTCATACAAGTGACTCCTGCCCTGTGACAGCTACTCTGAATCTTCAAAACATACATTACATTAACAATTTGAAGTTTAAGTCGTCACTGGTGATGAGCCTAATCGTAACACTATGCTATCAAAAAGTGCTTTTTTAAAAAAAATTATTCTCCCAATTATTGGCAATTAGGGGATAAAATAAAATAAAATAAAATGTATTTTTAAATACTTTTTTCTTGTCTCCAGACAGCAGGGTTGGGATTTGGAGCTGGGATTGTGGTTATCATCAATAGTGACTCACATATCACATCGATTTATATAAAGTACCAAACAAAAACAAAACTTTTTTTAATCAAATGTATTTACAGGTCATGTAGACTAGCATTCATAACTAAAAAGCACTAACCTGCCACTATTTAAAAAAATGCAAAAACCTGTAAGCTGCCAGAGGGTCTGCAGATGGACATTAGCCAAGGCTATAATCTGGCATATTTACATTTGTTAAAATGTTCATTAATATGTATTGTCCCTCTTTCTAAATAAATTAAATAAAATTAAATAAAATCAGTAAACCTACAGATCAGACCTAATGTCCCAATTTGCTGAATAAAACATCAGCGAAGTTGGAAATTAAAGGAAAAGTTCACAAAAGTGTCTCAGGTCAGCACAAATACCCTTTGGCACTGGTTCTTTAAGTGTCTGGAAATCTACTGGAGACATGGAAACCATTACCTCAAAATATATTTCCTCATTTAATGGTGTTAGTAGTGTTGAGAGCATATTCATTCAAAGTCTGTAGTAGGTTTTAAACTGGACTGACATCTGCTGATTATTAAGGTATATGATTCAAGCATTATCATCCTCAGGAAATAAGTATTTATAAAATGAAGGTGAACAATTTTGCACTTCCTCTAAAGTGAAATTTAAATTTTTTCCCTCCATCTTTATATATGAAATTTAATGTTGCATGACAAGAGGTACAGTGTGTATAAAGTACTGCATGTTATGGTTAGGTATACATACTTTAATACATAAAAACCTACGTTAACAGGTGTTTTTGACAGTATGTACAATTCAGTTTATTTATACACCAAGCATACACCAAGTCTGTGGTCTATTAAAGCACACATCAGCACATCCCATTAATATTTGATTACAGTTTAGCAATATCTCCTTTAGTTACTGTGGAAATCTACTTTCATTACTGTACACATTAAAAACTGTACATGTCTTTATGGATAAATTATGTTTTAGTGTTTAAAGGAAGTGGTGAATAAACACAGGAAGTACAGAAAGTCATCCAAGTTTGACATCCTTTCAACTGAACAAAATGCACAGCAGGTGGCAGCAGTGCATTGGTTATGTGTGATTGGTGAACGGGCTTAACCCTGCTTTCAATGCATTAACAGTCACCATATGGCAAAATACACTCATTATATACAAGATATAAACAAATAGTTGCTGAGATATAGTTTGAAGAAGATATGACCTCTCATGCATGATAAAGGGCTAAACTCACTAAGTACCACTTAATGTTCGTGTGTAATGATTTCCATGACAAATGCTGAGTAACAGAAAATATGAATATGCTGACATGTAGCATCTGTGTCCAAAGTTCTTCTTATCAGTTTGACCACAGTTCAGAACATTTGATTAGCTGCTGAAATTCAGCCTTTTGAGCTCTTTTGAGGAGTCTGAGCAGATTCCCAAACCAAGTCCAGTTAAGTCTGAGTCCAAGGTGATGGTAAAACAACATCCTTCTAAAAACTGAAACAGAGAAAAAACTTGATAAACTGCTCCAAATAAATAAATAAAAAAGCTTTTTAAGGATCAGTGGGAACTTGATCTACTTGCAGGAACTTGTAGATTAAAAGTAATACAAACACGTGTTTCTTTAAGGGCACCCAAGCATTTTCAGAAAATAAACTTGGATGAAAGGCATCTATGAACACTGTTAGACAAGCAGAAAAATACTTAAGGCAATGTCCAATCCTGGCAGACACGAAACAAGGCCAAGATCTCGGAAGAAAATTCTGTATGTATCAGTTATTCTCACTGTTTCTCTCTACAACTGTTCTTCCATCTGACACGAGCTTCCTGTTAGGCGCTGAAGCTACACTTTCTTTGTATTCATTGTCTCCTATCTTCATTGATCACAGTTTCCAGCGGCTCATGCAGTGGCCCTACCGGCAGGCGCATGTATCCACAGACATGTTTGGGTAAACCTTTAGCACCATGTTCCTGCTTGGATCCAGGTAAAGGACGCTGAGGGGGCTCATTTTGTCTGGAACACAACATGGCTCAGGCACACCAGGGACAATTCCCACAGCTCTGACAATGCTCTGGATAGTGGCGTGATTGGAAGGACGTGCCACCTGAGGAAGTAAGGAGTTGTAAAGGACTGATTATTAGTAAAATAACAAGAGAACTTTCCTAACCCTTAAAATAAAGTTAAAGTCATGTTTTTATAATAGTTTTAATAGTTTTTCTACTTGTGGATTTGGTAAAATAATGAAGTATTCTACTGACTGAATTAAAAAAAATCAGCTAATGGTTGGAGTGACAATAAGAAGGTTTTCATGTCTTACTTTAGGTATGGGGAATCCACAGGTCCCGGCGCAGTAGTAGGCATCAAAAGCCTTTGGTGCCAACACCCACTCGCTCCAGCCGATGTCTGCAAAGTCTACCCTGAGGTAGCGCCTGGAGCAAACCCTGGGCTCACTCCATTGTCTCCTCCTGGCCTTCTTCATCGTCCTCTCATCAAAGCTCAGCACTTGTGGCTTGCTCAGGCCCTCGCTGCTTACCAGGCCCTGCTTTCTTCCCGTTTTGACCACAGTTTTTGCTTTTGCTGGGAAATATGTGCTCTGCCACAGTTCGTGGTTCTTCAGGTTATTGAAGTGCGCCTCCGGTATATCGTTGGTTTGGATCTGTAGATGAAGCTCCCTCCGAATCCTCGAGGCTGACGTTGAGGTGGATGAGTCATCCCCTGCTGGAAAAGGCCCATACCTCTGTAGTGACATGGCCACGCTGTTTGGTTCATCTATAGCTCGATCGTCGGCATACACCAAGATATACGGCAGGTTGGCTGGTGAGAGGCGTTCTTGGCCATGAGGGCTCCTCTGCTGTACCCGAGCCCCCCCAAATCCCATATCAAACTCCACCATGACCACAAGCTCTTTGACATCTCTGGCATGTTTCAGCATTGCAGTTACGTCCTGCGTTTGCCAAGAGCTTTTCTTGAAAGGAGACAGAGTTACGTTTCCCAGAGGTGTCAGAAAAGCCGAGTTTAGGGAAGACCCATAGAAGAGGAGCCGCGAATGAGCAGGATCGGGATGCTGGATGCCTCCAGACGGGTGGCGAGGCGTTCGGAAACGCCACGCCGGTCTCTGGTGGTGGCGGGGCCTCTTGTAGAGGAAGTGAAAAGAGGCGGAGAGGATGAGCTCGGCGTTTTGGATTGAGGACAGGTTGAACTGGAACATGTCTCTGCCCTGTGAGACTCCTGGGGAATATGAAAAGGAATCAGGAGACAAATGAAAAGCTTGGCAAGAAAAAGTTCTTCAGGTTACAAAATGTCTGAGAGAAAAACATTTTCATTCCGCGCACAGTGCTTTTTATGATCCGAATACAGGAAATACACACATAAACAGTGATGTGATGAGCTCAGCTATACAGATCTTTTGCTGAACAGATGCTACAGCCCTGAGGGAGCACCTCTCTCTGAAATGAACAATAAAGACGAGTGAAGTGATCGCACTGCTGCCTTGACCCTTTCCCCTTCTCTTCTTTGCAACTCCTTTATCATGTCACGCTGGCACGTTTGATTCAACTCAGTAACAATGTCAATATATCACTCGCAAAATGTTGCTCAACACATCTGATGGACATAAGCAGCAGCAGCAGCAGCATGGAAAACATTAAGCACGGCACGGTTAAATGCCTGCCTCGTGCATGACCAAAAAACCTCACCCTTGAAAGCTACACTATTGAAGTTCAAATCTTGTCTCCTGCACTTCCACCGCAGCCTGAAAGACAAACATTGGGTCGGACCAGCAGGTCTATCATTGACATATGGAAATGCTTATAGCAGAAAGAGCTCCTCTGAGGCTTTATGCGGTGTCTGAGTGTGATAATGGGCTCTTGTCTGACACCTAGGCTGTTACAGCTACTGAGGAAACAACAGTGTTTGAGACATAACGTTTTCTCAGTTCAGTAAATCACAGCATAGACAGAGGTGAAGACGTTTGGCACAAAGGGAATCGAGGTCTGCTGGGCGATTGACAAAACACCTGTGCTGAGGATGCTTAGGATAAAGAAATGAAAAGTTAAAATTTGAAAGATTAAAAGTAATTCAGATCTTTTAGTCTCTTATCTTATCTACTAAAGTTTAATTTGGACATTTTTTTTCCTCCTGTATTTTTTTTAAGTTAATATTTGGTGAAACAAAAATGAAATTAACCCTACAGTGAGAGAACTGCACTTTTATAAAGATAAATACATACATGTTGGTATCCAGATCCACACATTATTAGTTTTGTTGCTTCTGTAATTTCCCCCCTTTTTTGCAATTCGACCAATTACATTAATACGCTGACTTAGTGTTCGACTACAGTAATTATGATATCAGCAACAACAAACCTGCTTCAATTTGTGCTAAAACATTTTAACATGTTTACCAAATAATTAACGTCATCCAATAAAAATGTATAACTGAATATTTACTTTGTAGTTTTACGCATGAAAATCTTGTTAAACAAAACCACGCGCGGCTCTGCTCTGACATATTTATCGGTGAACTTAAACAAATATAGGTGTTGTCACTCACTCGGAAGAGCTATAAAACTTCTCACGGTGTTTCCTTCCTTCTGGCTCTGCGGCTCTTTACTGTATTTCTCGTACACTTTGAACATGTTGATGGTGACCATGTCCCGGTTCGCGCTTTCTTGCGCAAAGACGCGCTGCTCTGCAGAGACTTCGGCACCTTGACGCACGGCTCTTTCCAGACCTTCAGATTGAAAGTAACTCCAGCTGGACTCCAGGACCGCCAGTAAACACAGGGTGTAAAAAATCCGGTTCTCCATCGTAGCTGATGTGGAAGCAGATTCTATTAAAATTATCTTCAATCAATAAAAATTTTTATTTGTCTATTTTTAATAATTAATTAATTTTTAGTTGTTGTTTTTTTGTAAAAATCTCTTTCTGGTCCTGCCAGTTTGCTGCCCACCCAGACTTCAAATCAATGCCCAGGTTATCCGTGTCAGATCCGAACTCCACGGTTCATGGTCTACAGCTGTTTCTACAATGGGAGGAGATCCGCGCAGACGCTGCTGCTGCAGGATGACAGATGGTGACGCCTCAGAGCGCGCAGCCAACGAGAGCCATGCAGCCCATTATGTGAAGTGCTCATGAGCACTGACAGGCTTCACAATCCAAAACTTCTTAAGGCAGTGACCTCTGACAGAAAATGCATCAACACTAAGGACTACATGCTGAACACCATTCTGCGCTATCACTGAGAGTTTTATGAGGGCGTTTAAAAAATAATTATGATGGAGTATAATAATAATTTTGTTTTATCATGCTGCACTGGAAGACTACTTTGAAAATCCATCTAAAACTCATCCATCCATCAATTTTCTTTACCACTTAACCAAATCAGGAACCTATCCCACCTGTGACAGGGCAAAAGGTGATGCACAGCCTGGACGAATTACCAGTATACTGCAGGTCTACACCTTTTGTGGTGTCACCATTAGGACTGGTTAAGCCTTTAAAATGTAAATAAAACATATACATGTTGTTACTGTGACATCAGACAGATTTCTCAAGTTCTGATGCTTTAACTTGAAAAAAACAACTGACATCATCAGCCTCAATCTGACTGACAAACCGAAGAAAGCAAAATACCCCCATCAAACAATAGTTTACAAAAATGATCATCATGCTGT